CACTGGCTCTTTCCATGGGCAGCACCCATAGCTCAGTGGGTAGGGCGCTGGCCACATACACCGAGCCTGGAGGTTCGAACCCAGCCTGGGCCAGCTAAAACAGCAATGACTACTGCAACAACAACAAAAAGAAATTGGTCTTTCCCACAACACTCTAGATATTAGCAGTATCCCTGAAATAAATAAGAGATCCTCCGAAGCGTTCTAATCAAATTATAAATAATTAAAATGTAAGCCATAGTGGCTCAGCGCCTGTGGCTCAGGTGGCTAGGGCACCAGCCACATAAACCTAAGGTGGCGAGTTCGAATTCGGCCCGGGCCCGCCAAGCAACAATGATGGCTGCAACCAAAAAATAGCCAAGCATTGTGGTGGGCGCCTGTGGTCCCAGCTACTTGGGAGGCGGAGGCAGGAGACTCGCTTGAGCCCAGGCGTTGGAGGTTGCTGTGAGCTGCAATGCCACAGCACTCTACCCAGGGTGACAGCTTGAGGCTCTGTCTCAAAAAAAAAAAAAAAAAAAAAAATGTAAGCCATAGAAACCATTTGAGCCACAAGATAAATAATGGTAGTATTTGGATTAATACCCTTAAAAGTATAATAACTTCCTATTAATCAATAGTGATAAAAATAAATTGAATAAGCAAATAAATATAAGAGAAAGGATAGCTTTTCTTCACAGAAGAATTCCAAATAAGAAAGAATGAGGAAAATAAAAAGTTACCATTAGGCAAACACGATAGCCGTAACTATTACAGGCAAGATCCACCAAAGGATGGTAGACTCAGTGGGTAAAAGTTTGAGGAGAAACAGTACAGTTCACGGCATCTTCCCCAATATATCTGTTAATTACAAAAGGAAAAATAGTAACTCCACTGCAGAAAAACCTGGAAGAAGAAATCTGACAGACAGCACCTTAACCAAGGTCAATAAGACATATCAACATCACCTGCCCCGATACGACATACTGAGAAAGGTAGAGCATCACTTCTCTGATGTTCTTCCCCAAACACATAACCTCAATCTTATGAAAAAATATCAGACAGTGCCCAATTGGGGAATATTCTACAAAATAATTAACCACAGCTCATCGAGGCGTCCAGGTTGCAAAAGACAAAGAAGGTTGGAGAGAGAAAGGGTCAGCGTGCAGGGGACCAGGGGACATGACAACGGGGCATAATGAGGGATTTTGCCTCGGAGCCCAGAACAGGAAAAGGACATTAGTAGGAAAACAGGTGAAATTAAATAAGACTTGTAATTTTGATCTGGGATTAACTGACTCTGGCCCACTGCTACTGCCTGTTTTTGTCAAAACTTTATTGTTAGAGAGCCATAATCATTGACTGACTTATTATTTTATGGCTGCTTTCTCCAATGGTAGAACTGAGTAGTTGTGACAGAGACCCTATGGCCTGCAAAGCCTAAAATATTGGCTATCTCAGGGCCAGCACTAGGGGAAGTAAGGAGGATAGTTAGGTTAAAGGAGGATCTCTCTCCCTCTGTCTCTCTCAAAAGTTCTATACTTGTGAAACTCTTGAGAGTTAGTACCTCCTTAAAATTTGCTTCTTAAGTACGTGCATGTCTCATCCAAGTACTGACCCTACCTGGTCGCTACAAAAAATGTTGCTGGTTAACCAACCATGAACATTAACATCATTGACATTAACATTACCAATGTTAATGTTCCAGTTTTGAACACTGTACTTCTATTAGGTGTAATATTAACATAAAGCTGGGTTAAGGGTATATAGGAACTCTTGTGTATTATTTTTGCAACTTTTCTGTAAATCAAAAATTATGTCCAAATAAAACATCTTAATAAGAGTGCAAACTCTAGGATAGATCAGATAAATTTACAAAGTGCCAAGGCCACAGTGTCACTGTGAGGCCACAACAGCCACAATAATGACAACTTAACCACTCTGTGCCAGGCAATGTTGAAAGTACTTTTTATATTGTGTCTTAATTTCCACAGCAACTCTATGAGGTGGGTACTATTCACTCCCATTGGCAAATTAGGAAACCAAGGCATAGAAAACTGAAGTGGTTTTATCAAGGTCACACAGTTAGTAAGTGGCAGAGTTAAGACATGAACCCAGATCTTCGGAAGTCAATAAAATAGAGAAATAAGAAAAAAAATTGATGTATCCATTTAGCAGGTTTGTGCTCAATTTTCAAGTCCATAAAGTCTTGAAGTCATGAAGCCTTGTTATCATTACTCATGAAATAGTGACCAAATATTTAAAAAACAAACCATATCCAACAGTGAGGCTGCTTTCCACCCCTAGCATATACTGCGTGCATCAGTAAGAACTTCAGTGTAGAGTCTTTTTTTTTGGGGGGGGGGGCGCAGTTTTTGGCCAGGGCTGGGTTTGAACCTGCCACCTCCGGCATATGGGACCAGGGCCCTACTCCTTTGAGCCACAGGCACTGCCCCCCAGGGTCGAGTCGTATATTGCATGAGTCTTTGTGTAAAACCCAATGTACAGAGAAAAAGCTGACTGACTTCAGATCAAATACTGGTAAATTTCTTTTCATTGAGGGATATGTTGTTTTCTGTAAAATAATACAGAATCCTTCCATAATTTATGTATGTCACATATGTAAAGTAGCAAATTAGTCTCATCGCTTATTGTCATGATTATATTTTTGATTTATGAAAGAGGTTTTGCTGAAAGTCTCTGAGAAGAAAAAGATTCAAAATTACTGCTCTTGAACCATTAGAAAATATGTGACTTTACTTTGAATTTAATCAATTTCCAGCACAAGCTTTAAATTATAAGAGCTGTATACCAAAGGAAAACTATTATATGGGTGTCTCAAAATATCAAATTGCTTTGAAATTATAACTGCCAAATTGCTTTTGCGGAGGAAAAGTTCTGTCTAATTTCAAAGCATCAAATCAAGGCATAGTTGCAGTAAAAAAAAATTCATCTAATAGAAATCAAGGAAATGTCTCACTAAATAGACAAAAACAGTCATAAAAATATTTTTCATGGGAAACATATCTCTAAGTGGAAAAGAGAAGATACATATTAAAAGAAGTGGCAAAACTGTGACAGTCATTTCATTAATAAATAAGTGATTGTTATCTGGATATGTTATGCCATGGACAGATCAGTGAAACAAATCCAGACAGAGGAATGTTGAGACTATATATGGTAACCCTAAAATGAAACTGTTACACATAAACAGCCAATTTGTGTGACTCTATCCAAAACTAATCCTCCGTTTTTATAAACTGAAAAGATAAGAGCATGGCTTCAAAAGCCTGACAAAATGGGTCAGGAGATTTATTAGGGGAACTTAATGATCTTTATAACGTAGCACCTATCTTTAAAAAATCCAAATTAATCTTATCAAGTTTAATTATGTTATATTGGTTTAAAATTATTCCTTCAAAAATTATTTAGTAGAAGCATAATCTGAAAGGCAAATAACATATGTGCTAAAAATGATAATAAGTTTGCTCAGTTGCTATAAGCAAATTACCACCACCATAAACAAGAGTAAGATATTATTCTTGAAAAGAAATATGCAACCAAAAGAGCATTATAAGCTGTTTTCTATGGGGGGGGGAGTTGCTTCTTTAACTTCAAGGTATCTGAAATAATTTCCTCACAGTGTGGTAAAAATAAGAGATTTTATCTTACAAGGGTACAAGTAAATCTTTCTAAGAGTAGAATATGAACATCTTAACACAATAACTAAGAAAATGACATGAAGGCTATGTTACCCAGTTTGATGAAAATATTTCAAATTGTATGTGAAAACACCACACTGTACCCCGGAATTGCATTAATGTACATAGTTATCATTTAATACAAAAAAAAAAAAAAAAGACTTTGAACAGACTTAGTAAATTCTAGTGCTTTAAAAAAAAAAGAGAGAGATTTTAATCCCATGTATCCAATATTGCATCCTATCCTGAAAACAAAACTAATTACATGTTATAAATAAATTCCTGCCTTTACAAAACAAGAATATAAAAACATTTCTATTTAAAACATTAATATTAATTGTTATATATTAATTAAAATAAAATACATTAATTACATAATACAAATATATTTTAATAGCACGATTTAATAATAGATGACTAATCACAATTAATACATTTCATTTTCTCTTAACATTATTTAAAATATTGGAAATAAAATATTTAACAACAACAGAATAATTCAGCTGTGGTAATCATAAAATGAAATATTTTGCAACCATTAAATTTTGCCAAATGTAATAGCCTGGAGAAATCCTTCTTAGAATATTAATAGATAAAAAGCAGGAATCCACAAGGATATATAACATATCCAAACATGAGTTCAAAAAATATGCAGAGTGAAAAGACTGGAGATTGATATACCAAAATATGAATAGTGTTACCCTCCGGAGATAAAATTTTAAATGATTTTTCCATAGTTTATCACAATCTCTACAACTTTTACACTTGTAGTTTCTACACGTCTGACTTTAGAAGCAACCCCCCCAAAAGTAATTTCTCACACATTCAAAGTATTAACATAGAGGTGTTTCTTTGGTTTATAATTCAACTGCTCACATAAAAGCACATGTTTTAATAAAATATTTTGAAATCCCTAACCTACTAAAAACTTACCTTTTATTTCAATTATAGTGTGAATTACCATCATAAACACATAGCTTATGTATACTATGAAGCACTACCATCAGAAATGGCAATAAAATTTCAAATATTTATTTTTAGCATAGTGATTGTGAAATAGTGTATGGCCAGGAACCACAATATACATATTTAACCAGAAGCTTTCATAAAATTACCACAGGACACTATTCAAGTAAAGAGTCAACATACATTTAAATTCTTAACTTTTCTGAGCCAAGGAAGCAGTCATTTTAAAGTGCTTTAAAATATTACAAGATTGGATTTTTAGTTCAATGTGACTAGCGTTTTATTTAAATTAAAACCTTAAAAAAAAAAAACTTGAAATACTGTTGTGAAAGAGAACAGCACTGTCCACTGTCTTACCGAAGATAGTTCATCACATCCCAGTAACTTGTAGTAATCTTCAGTGTCCTCCGACCTGTAATTCAGTATTGCATCCATTTGGGTTACTAAACCAGCTTTTCCCTCCTTGGAAACAAAGAGGCAGGATGAGCTTCGAATTAACAGGGAGAAAAACCTCTTTAAATCTGAGCTACAGAAGCACGATCCGAACAGCAAAAACCAGCTTTCAGACTGGTCACACAGTCAATACGCCAGATGTCATCCCAGATCTTTGTCAGCGCTGCCTCTCATTGGTTGTTTACAGAGGAGAAAAGCACCGGCCACGTGCCTGCCTAGCTTTGCAGGGCTGCCTGGGATCTGTAGTTTGAGTTTATGTAACTGATGCAGATGAACCATTTGTATAATGGGCCAATAAAGACTGTCCATTTTTACCAACTCCTCACATTAGCCATCTCTCCATCTCTGCTATATTTTTGTCTTTATCTTGTTTTTAAAAGACAGGAGAAAATCTGAAGCAAGGTGGTAAAATCTGAGGATATGTTTGATATAAGTAGTGAGTGCTCTTCTGAGTGTTTAAGATATTTCACAATGTTTAAAATAGTGTAAGAGCATAAGCAAACATACTACGATACTAAAATACAAATATACTAATATACTATAGTATATTTGTACTACAGTATATGTACAAATACAAATATATATTATTTTGGATGTGTGGTAAATTACTGGATATATTATTATATACAAATAGTATATTTGTATAGTACATTATAGTATACTATAATGGACAAAATAGTAAAGTACAAAATACTAAAATATTTTGAAATCCCTTACTTAGGAAAAACTTACCTTTCGTTTGAATTATAGTATGAATTACCATAATAAACACATAGTTTATATATACTATAAAATACTGCCATCAGAATTACAATAAAATTTCAAATATTTATTTTTAGTGTAGTGATTGTTAAATAGTGTACGATCACAAGCCAGAATATACATACTTAACCAGAAGCTTCCATAAAATTACCATAGGACACTATTCAAGTAAAGAGTCAACATACAGGCTCGGCGCCTGTGGCTCAAGCGGCTAAGGCGCCAGCCACATACACCTAAGGTGGCGGGTTCGAATCCCCAGCCCGGGCCTGCCAAACAACAATGATGGCTGCAACCCAAAAATGGCCAGGTGTTGTGGCAGGCACCTATAGTCCCAGCTACTTGGGAGGCTGAGGCAGGAGACTCGCTTGAGCCCAGGAGTTGGAGGTTGCTGTGAGCGTGATGCCATGGCACTCTACCCAGGGGGATAGCTTGAGGCTCCGTCTCAAAAAAAAAAAAAAAAAAAGAGTCAACATACATTTAAATTCCTAACTTTTCTGAGCCAAGAAAGCAGTCATTTTAAAGTGCTTTAAAATAATACAAGATTGGGGTTTTAGTTCGATGTGACTAAAGTTTTATTTAAATTAAAACCTTAAATAAGAACTTGAAATACTGTTGTGAAAGAGAACAGCCTGTCTTACTGAAAATAGTTCATCATATCCCAGTAACTTGTAGTAATCTTTGGTATCCTCCGACCTATAATTCAGTATTGCATCCATTTGGGTTATATTATAGCATACTATAATATACTATACAAATATACTAATATACTAAGCAAATTTTCATTTGTGTGATGATTTACTCATTCAATAAATATTTATTGAGGACCTATTTTGTGCTCAGCACTGTTGTAGGGAAAGGCATGGCAAGCAACACAAACTCAGTTCTGATGGAAGAACACAGACAAGAAACACGCAAAGAAACAGGATCATTGGTTCAAAATGGTTGTTTGTGCTGCACAGGACTAAAATAGGACAATGAAGAGAACTACGTGATAACCTGAGTGGCATCCCTGTGCCATTTCCCCTGGGTTGGCTCCTCAGACTCAGAAATGTGTCTGGTCTAGGGTGGGTCAATCACTCTTTGCTGCAGTTCATTTTGGGCTGTAAGAAACGCCGTTGAGGGCTGGGGTTTAGAGGAGGTGAATGGTCAGAGATACAAAACTTTAACTGCCTTAACACTTTAAATGCCCTGTAAATTATCACCTTGGGGAAAAAGTACTTTTTCTTCTAGTCCAGCTATTTGCATCTTTTTTAAGGTTTATTTCTGAACAGAAACAAGAAAAGGCTCCAGAGCACCACTTTTGCTAACCCTTCTCTTGCTGAAAGTTCTGTATAGAATTTTTAAATAAAGTAAAATTAATTTTGTTTGGGAAGTTTTACCACATCCCTTGAAGTATTTGGAGGTTAACTTGAACATTACATAATCTTGATTGGAATCAATGAAAAATTCCTTTTTTTTTTTCTTTGTTGAGACAAAGTCAGACTCTGTCCCTGTGGGTAGAGTTCTGTGGCATATTCATCATAGCCCTCAGCAACCTCAAACTCTTGGGCTCAGGCAATCCTCTTGCCTCAGACTCCCCAGTAGATGGCACTACAGACATCTGCCACAATGCCCAGCTAGTTTTTTTCTATTTTTAGTAGAAATGAGGTCTCCTTCTTGCTCAGGCTGGTCTTGAATGCATAAACTCAAGCAATCCACCCGACTCTGCCTCCCAGAGTGCTAGGATTACAGGTGTGAGCCACCGTGCCTGGCTGCATGCCCTTATTATTTTTTTTTCTTTAGGACTGTGTTCCTTTTTATTTTTTTATTTTTTTATTTTCTTTTTTAATTTAATTTTTAATTAAATCATAACTGTACATGTTTATGGGGTACAATGTGACAATTTGATATATAATGTGGAATGCTTAAATCAAACTGATTAACATAACCACCATCTCACTTACTTTTTGTGGTAAGACATTTATAATTTACTCTTAGTTATTTTGAAATATACCCTTGCATTGTGCACATTAGGTGAGATCCTGCCAAATGCCCTGCTCCTCCCACCAATCACCTTCCCCCTTCTCTGCCCCTCTCCTTCCTCTCCCCTTCCTCATTAGACTGTATTTGTGTTTTATTATTCATATGAGACTGTGTTTATATATTGGTTTCATAATAGTATCAAGTACATTGGATACTTTTTTTTTTCCACTCTTGAGATACTTTCCTAAGAAGAATGTGCTTCAACTCCATCCAGGTAAACATAAAAGATGTAAAGTCTCCATCTTTTATGGCTGAATAGTATTCCATAGTATACATATACCACAATTTGTTAATCCATTCATGGGTTGGTGGGCATTTGGGCTGCTTCCACAACTTGGCAATTATGAACTAGGTCACAATAAACATTCTGGTGCAGGTTCGGTGTCTGTAGCACAGTGGTTACAGCACCAGCCACATACACTGAGGCTGGCAGGTTCAAACTCAGCCTTGGCCAGCTAAACAACAATGATAACAACAACAAGAAAATAGCCGGGCACTGGGGAGGATGCCTGTAGTCCCAGCTGCTTGGGAGGCTGAGGCAAAAGAATGGCTTGAGCCCAGGAGTTTGAGGTTGCTGTGAGCTGTGACACCATAGCACTCTACTGAGGGCAACATAGTGAGACTCTGTCTCAAAAAATAAATAAATAAATAAACATTCTGATGCAAAATGTCTTTGTTGTAAAATGATTTTTGTTCTTCTGGGTAGATAGATACCTAGTAATGGCATTGCAGGATCAAATGAAAGGTCAACTTTTAGTTCCTTGAGAATTCGCCATACTTTTTTCCAAAAGGGCTGTATTAGTTTGCAATCCCACCAGCACTGTAGAAGTTTTCCCTTCTCTCCACATCCATGCCAACATCTGCAGTTTGGGGCTTTTGTGATGTGGGCTAATCTTAATGGAATTAGGTGATATCACAAAGTGGTTTTGATTTGCATCTCTCTGATGATTAAAGATAATGAGCATTTTTCATGTGTTTATCGGCCATTTGCCTGTCAAATTCAGAGAAGTTTCTGTTCAAGTTTCTTGACCACAAAGAAATGGGGTTTTGTTCTTTTCTTCTTGATCAATTTGAGTTCTTGTAGACTCTAGTTATCAGACCCTTGTCAGAATCATAACATGCAAAAATCTTCTCCCATTCCAAAGGCTGTCTGTTTGCCCTACTTGTAGTGCCTTTAGCTATGCAGAAGCCAAAGGCCCTTTCAATGATGTAAAATTTGCCACTTATGGAAAATGGTTTTTAAAAATGTGAATATAGGTGGCGCCTGTGGCTCAGTGGGTAGGGCACTGGCCCCATATACCCAGGGTGACGGGTTCAAACCTGGCCCCAGGCAAACTGCAACAAAAAAATAGCTGGGCATTGTGGTGGGTGCCTATAGTCCCAGCTACTCAGGAGGCTGAAGCAAGAGAATCGCCTAAGCCCAGGAGTTGGAGGTTGCTGTGAGCTGTGTGACACCATGGCACTCTACCATGGGTGATAAAGTGAAACTCTGTCTCTACAAAGAAAAATAAAATAAAATAATTAAAATAAAATAAAGGTGTGAATATAGGTGGCACCTGTGGCTCAGTGAGTAGGGCGCCAGCCCCATATATCAAGCGTGGCAGGTTCGAACCTGACCCTGGTCAAATTGCAACAGAAAAATATCTGGGTGTTGTGGCCGGTGCCTGTAGTCCCACCTACTTGGGAGGCTGAGGCAAGAAAATGGCCTAAGCCCAAGAGTTGGAGGTTGCTGTGAGCTGTGATGCCACAGCACTCTACCAAGGGCGATAAAATGAGACTCTGTCTCAAAAAAAAAAGAAGAAGAAAAAATGCGAATATAGAACTACCACATTTTTGGGTAAACACAAAAAAAGAATTGAAAGAAGAGACTCAGAAATATATTCATATGCCCATTTTCATTGCAGCATTATTCACAATAGCCAAAAAGTAGAAGCAACTTAAGTGTCCATCAGTGGATGAATAAGCAAAATGTATTATATTCTTATAATAAAATGTTATTCATCTGAGGTGGGTGGATTGCTCAAGGCCAGTAGTTTGAGATCAGCCTGAGCAACACAGTGAGACCACATCTAGGGAAAAAAAAAAATTTAAATAAACCAAGTAGGGTGGTACCCACCTGTAGTCCAAACCACTCAGGATGCTGAGCCAGGAGGTGAACATAGAAGTTTAAGATGAGGCTCGGCACCTGTGGCTCAAGTGGCTAAGGCACCAGCCACATACACCTAAGGTGGCAGTTTCAAATCCAGCCTGGGCCCACCAAACAACAATGATGGCTGCAACCAAAAAATAGCCAGGCATTGTGGCAGGCACCTGTGGTCCCAGCTACTTGAGAGGCTGAGGCAGGAGACTCACTTGAGCCCAGGAGGTTGCTGTAAGCTGTGATGCCACGGCACTCTACCCA